TAACATAAGAATCAGTGGCGTACATGACACCCCGCAGCCCCTGTGTCTCGGGGATGTAAATTCCAAGGGGGAGCGGTCCACACACGTACGGACAATATGAAAAAAAAAACAGATAACCAACATGAAAAAATGTATTCTCAATTGCTCAGTACATGCTTAATTCCGACTATTTATATTTATACTTCGAAAGAATTCGACTATTAGCACGGTCAGATTATGTATGTACAAGCATCAGCGGTCAAAATAAAATGAAATTTGATTGATTTTGTGTCCTTTATACAGAGGATAGGACTGATTATTTAATTAACCACACTCAGTTTTTTCACAGAAACACACTCAAATTTGAAGTATATTCGGTAAATTAAAATGATGGACAAATTTTCATTAACTTTTTACTATTATATCTAATAACCTGAAAATATTTGCTAGATTTCACAACATTCGGTTTTTGCAATTTCAAAGTTAAATTGTATAAAATTGTTACATAATTTTATAATTGCTACATAATTTTATTTTTTACCCAAAAAATCTGGATGTCTAGGGTAAAAACTCAACATGGATTCATAAATCACATGTGCAGAAGTATATTATTTTTTTTATAATTTAACTAATATTTACGAATGTAAATTTTGGAAATGACGTGATATTATTGTTGGTGGCGATAATTAGCCAAATTGTGGTTAGCGTCGTACCATCTACACGATATTCCTAATACATGTATAAAATTTGACAACAATCGGTCTAGCAGTTTCGGAGATTTCTGTCTAATAAAAATTCGGACAGATGGCACAGAGACCGACGGAAATAGGAGACTTATTTTTTCAGAGTCTAAGGATCATGAAAAGTCGGAAAAACATAAAAGTGTAGTCAGTCATCCAATGGACTCGATTATAAAACTACCTTAGCTTACAATCAGGAAGTAAAGTTTGACACAGATCGTCAGACAGAGAGACAGACCAGACAGACAAACAGGCAGACAGACAGATAATCCATCCAAGATTTTCGGGGATTATCTGCCTAATAACAAACAATTGACACAGGCAAGACAGATCGACAGACCGACAGACCAGACAGATCTGAAAGTAGCAAGTCGCCCGATAGAAAAATTATCGTTAAATATAAATTAACGGCAACGAAAAGCTAGCGCCTAATGGTTTGAAGCTAGCACCACTAGTTTTATAGCTAGCGCCATTCAGCAAAGTAAATAAAATAACTGAAAAGCCCTGAAAAAATAACTCACATTTATTTATAAAGCATAATTTCCAATAGTGGCCAGAAATTAGTACATTCTTTTATTAGGAGCAAAAGTGTTACTTTTTGTGGCGAGTCCTGTAAGTTTGACGGCGGAGTGAAGCGAATAAAACATACTATTTTCTCTTCAAACGTCTTAATCAAGTTAAAATATAACACATTTCTTTTTACATAACCTCACACAACCCGACAATCAGGAACTACACACCATGAACACTATTTGCAATCAATTCTACCACACGGCGTATTTGTTTTTAACATAGGTAACTGTCAGGATTTACCAGGTACGCGTGATAAATTCGATTTAATAACAGCAAAAACAAAGGCGGCAGAAAAAGTTGCTTTTTTTGACGCCGTCAGAAAAAGTACTTTTATAGACATGGCATTGAAATGCGTCTTTTACTATGTGTATGGTGGTATACAAAGGTCCGTTTTTCTAACGTTTGAAGAAAAAAACTATTTTTGAAAATTAGTGCATTAGAATTATCCATTTCTTGTAAAAAAGTAACGTTTTCTGCATTGCCTTTTAATAAATCATTTTTTAGAACAGAACATTATTCATTTAATTAATAAAGTTTAGTTGATGGTTCTCTGTTAGTCTGTGTAACATTGTCAGTTGAAAGAAAAAGGGGTTTATAAGGTTGAAACGTGGAGGTGATCTCTTTGTTTACGAAAATTACATTTATAATTTCTCGAAAAAAACTGCGAACGCAAAATCTCATATTTGGATTTGTGAAAAAGAAATTTTTGCAAAGGACAACTGTGGACTGAAGCGGACACGCCAAATGTTTTCAAAATAATAAACCAACATAATCATGCAGCTCAGGCCGCTATACCAGAAGGTTTGTGAACAATACAACAAATTTAAGACAAACTGACGAAAATCCTCAAAAGATTTTGACATCGAATATCCAAGATGTCCACAAAAATCTTTTAGCCGTAATGCCCCATAAAGAAAGCATAAAACTAACAATTAGGAAATTAAAAAACCAAAACAACATACCGCCTTAAATTTAATTTATTATCTCAATGTAAGGAATGGTATGCAGATGGTACTTTCATCACATGCCCGACATTATTTGAACAATTGTATACCTACAATTCATGTAAAATATAATAACATTATCATTCCTGTTGTTTATGCTATTTTAACAAATAAAACAGAATAAATATATAGAAAATATTTACAACAAGTGAAGACATTGCAATGAACGCATGTCAAAAAGAATTTGATGACGTTAAAATTACCGGTTGCTTCTTTCATCTTTTGCAAAATGTCTGGAGGAAGATACAAAGTGAAGAATTACAGTTAATGAAACATTTATGATAACTTTGTTACTTTTATTCATGTAAATATAATCCCCATAATTAGATGTACGATAAGTAAAAAAAATTGCGAAAGGGATCAGAATGATTACCCACTCTCGCTTTCGTGTCACAAGAAAATGTAAACGACGCCTATGAGACACTTATAGACGCAAGGGAGTTTCCACTAGAAGCAGCCCGTATAGCCCATTATTTTAAGGACACCTACATTGGACGTAGACAACGAAGGCAACGGATATTGCCTATTTTTTCCAATTTCTAAGTGGACCGTGTTCGAAAGAACGCTAAACAATGACACACGAACCAATAACAACGTAGAAGGTTGGCATCGAAGTTTTCAAGTTGCATGTGGGAGCCACCATTTAAATATTTATAAATTTATTAACGGTTTAAAGAGGCAACAACGCTTGGTTATTTTCGAAACATGTCAATTGCTATCTGGGCAACCTCTAAAGCGAAAACATAAAAAATTCCTTAAACTTCAGCGTGCAGTTCAGAATTGTAATTTTGATGATATTAAATATTAAATATATTTATCGGGTATTGCACATAATTAGAAGTTTTAGTGTAAGTATGTTTTTACTATGTTTAATATTAGTGTTAGCAATAACATGTGAGTACAAAATTTGTTAACTATATTAAATACTTAATCTATCAAAGTTTCTTGTTTTTATTTTAACTGGGCATGAACACTTGGAAATTGATGTATATGTTACCGGCAATCTGTATAATTCAGGTATTCTATACAATAGCAAGGCAATGTGTAGAATACCGGCGGCATCTAGGCAATGTATGAAATATTACGAATATGATTGTCCATTACATACTTTGCCTAGGTAATGTATACAATTCCTAGGGATTGTATAGAGTGGCCCATCGGCAATGTGTAAAATAAAACAATCTTCATAAATAAATCACGTTAAACCCAAAATTCTTCTAGGTAAACTAAAATAATAAAATATTTCTCAAAAATAATCACGTAGGTACCTACCAAGTATTAAAAACTTAGGAAACAAACAGTTCTATCAAAATAAGAAATAGATCTACTGGCTTCTCAGAATGGAGTAAGTAAAAAAATAATTATTTATTCTTACATGAAAAACTATTGTGACATTTTGAAGTGCATAAAATCTTATTTTAAAACTGTCCCCTCGCGTATGTCACTCTTACCCACTCTCGTCTTTTACACACATTATCGGCTGCGCATCCGGAATTGTATAGAATACCTAGGCAAAGTATAAAATGAATAATATTTCATACATTACCTTAACGTTTTAGGCATTCTATACATTGCCTAGGTATTGTATAGAATACCTAATTATACAGATTGCCGGTAACATATATAAAATATATATTCTTATATCTCTAAAACAGTCTAAAATAACTGAGTGCAGCTATGTAAAATTTTTATCACTAATACCAAGCCCATAGAAAGATATTCTACTTTTTTTAAACAATGTTATAAAAAACTTATGACGTCAGCAATTTATTTTTCATATTTAATTTGCTTTAAAAAATATTAAGTATGGAATCTACGACAGAATTAATATCAAAATATAGCTTCTTAGTATTAAAAATTAAAACGAAGTTGACATTCACGAACGAATTATACCGGATACGAAAAAGCCGGGCACGAAAAATCCCGGATACAAAACGTCCGGGCACAGTGCGCCCGGATACGAAAAATCCTAGGTGTACGAAAGGTCGGGTACGTGAATCTGCGCTACGACTATAAGTTTTCTTTTATACTTACTCTGACTCGTATTATCGATGTTGATGACGGCCTTACAAATTTTTTGTTCGTCAAAGCAAGAACGAGTCACCCCATTTTCTCGACAATGTGAGAACACGCACGTGATTATATCACAATTCTGAATTATAATATTCAGAACATTTTGTTCGATTGTGGTTTAATTAATAACTTTAGTTCCCGGTTTTGAGAAGACAAACTAATGTCGATGTATAAACATAAATAAACACTTGAGCTTCACATTGGTATTACCTAGTGCTGAAGGACATTTTTTATCCTGTTAGTTATGTTCTTTAAATATATTTTACATTCCGTACGTAGGGGCTACGGAGGTGTTATTTATGCCGCTGGTTTTTTACTTTACAGAGGTTATCACAAAGCGAAAATGGTAAAATAAAATTTTATAAGGGCAAAGGAAGTTCTATCGAAATAGCCTAACCCTTAATTTTTGTTGTTCGTTACACTTCCACCGTTTGCACGAATAATGTAACTCTCTACTTTTACGTTTTCTCGACCCTTCAAGACCCCTAGAGGACGAAGAAATAGGTTTCCTTTTTCCGTCTGTGTGTCTGTCGTCTGTCCGGATTTTTTTGATTATTAATTCGTTCTTAACATTTAAAATCAATTGCATGATTTGCTTAACATAAATAAAAAGAATTTTAAAAGTACTTACGCTAAAATTCCAGACATGTGGAAAATTTCGGCGTTTAAGTACGCCAAGTAGGCCATAACAAATATAAAAATAGGTTCTATGACACGCACTTCATTTGTAAATTTTGTAACAAATCCAGTTGCAAGTCCCCATATCACACCGATCACAGTACCACCAAGCGCCACTACGAGAAAGCTCGCTAAACCGGCTAAAATATCCTGATAGACGATGTTTTCTAGGCCCATTTCCGTATATGATTCAAAAAGATGATACAACACTACAGTTACGGCATCATTCAACAATGATTCACCAAACACAACTATATACAAAATTTCGTTAACTTGAATCTCTTCAAAAACGGCTAACACAGCTACTGGATCAACCGCAGATATAAGCGACCCAAAAAGGAACATGTCCAGCAGCGGAGTATCACAGGAGTAGAGGCCTGTCAGTCCTACTGCCCACAAGGAAGCACCTGCAACAAAAACGCAATGTTATGAACTTTCATCAACTAAATTTTGTAAAACGGTACTTTAGCACACAAAAATCAATGACAGAATGTACCGCACTGATGCATCGATTGCACCACACAATTATTCTTCAGTAATAAAAAGCTTATGAATAAGAATCAGCACAAATATTAAAAAATAAGTGAAAATATTCTTTTTCAATGAAACTTACTGTGTAGTGTTCACTGAAATACATCTGTTTTGATGAGCGTAAACACTACCAAAAATCGTACTTATTTTATGATGAATACTGGTCACTTGATCATTCATGTTACACTCATGTAATAATGAATTCTGGTGTAAATAAATTTATGATACAATAACTAAAAATGTCGTTTTCTTGTACCCCGGTATATTTACGTACGGATTTATTATAATTATTGTACAGTAAACACGAATGTTTAATTTTGTAGATAGGAATGCTTTCTTTTTGTAATTATAAGAAATATTTTATAAATAAGCTTGCTTCGTTTTTACGTACAAATGTTGCATAATGTGGACGTTTTAAAATTATGGTTTCTTACAATCTTTACGTAATAGGTACAAGATTTAAAATACAAAGAAAAGAAGTTCGACAAAATTATCTTTTTATTTATCTAGAATACAAAAATGAAAATAAAAGACGGCTTAAGCAAAGAATTTAGGTCTAAATATTAACATTAAATGAACGAAATACTAATCTGAACCGGAAGTAAATGACTGAAGAAACAAAATATTGAAAACTGGAAAATCACACATTACTTGTTACGTATAACAAAAATTGATTATTAGACAGAACTTCCCTCGTGCCTGAAGTACAGTCCAATAAATTCAACTTCTCTGCAAAATTATAGAATTTGATTTTGGGAAATTTTATTTATTTTATGATATCCCTTAGAAGTAAAAAAATTGGTCTAAAGTTATTTAGATAGAGCTTCCTTTGCACTTGAAGTCACAGATTCAAACAAATTCAGTGTTAAAAAAAAATCTCACCGAGGATAGGATTCGAACTCACTCACGCAGAGCTCAAGTTGCTCAAAGTTAACGCTTTAAATCACCCAACCTAATAGTTTCGTATATGCGCGAGATATCCGTTACATGAAACACTTCGTAAACCACAGTACAGTTCAAGTATGTTATTTTATAAAATTTAAATAGTACATATTTCGTAAGCATAATGTTGACGTGAACGTCATTAAATTATTAGCAAGAATAAGTAGACAGATTTTGGTTACCATCGAAACGATATATCTAACATATATCTTTAAAATTTGAGAACAATCTCCAGAGTTTTAGAGATTATCTATCTAATCAAAATTCACACAGATGATAGACGACAGGTAAACTATATAGACAGAGGCCATATAACAGGCAGACAGGAACCGGAGATCAATTTTTTTTCGTGCTCAAACGGTCATGAAACGTCGAGAAAACGTGGAAGTAGCCTTTCGTTGGATGGACGTTACAATATTGCTTTAGGTTATGCTCGTAATATATTTCATTTGTCGGTGGGAATTTATTCAGTTAACGCAATTATTTTATTACATTTGATAAGTAAGATAATGTATAGCTCACGCCATCGAAGGTAAATTTATTGAACTGGATATATCCACAATTGATTCAACATTGTAGTGTTACATCCTGGAAGTTCCGAGATCGGTGTATTATTTTCTGCATTATTCTCATTTTTGTTATTACAGTCTAAAATAAAGCCTTTAATGAGAATTTGCTGTATGTTAAATTTGTCAATAACGTTTTTTATAAATTACTATGATTCACTATTTTTAGATCCCGACCGATCAGGATGTGTTGCAATAGTGTCCATCCGATAAATAGCTACTTTCTTGTTTTCTCTACATTTCATAATCTCAAAAATATGAAAGATTAGGTCTCCAATTTCCATCTGTCTGTGTCGATCATTATTATTAAGATAATCTCCGAAACTACTGGATCGATGGTTGTGAAGTTGTATATGATTTAAGAATATCGCGTCGATGGTAAAACGCTAACCAAAATTTCTCAAATTATTCCCACTAACAATTTGGTGACTCCTCCTCAGCATTTTGCGTAGTGCATTTGTCAAAATTTCTAAAATAATATATACTTGTACTCGTGGGTTACGAACCCATCTTGATTTTTATCACACTTGCTTCACGAAAATTTATTTTGTGCAATGTTTGCCACGTGTTTCATGTAGCTGATATCTCGCTCAAGCATTAAATACCGAGAGACTATAAACGTCTGTGATTTCTTTAACGGGATGGCAACCAATTAAAATTTATGATATATACCTGATTGTCAAAATGACATTTATGACAGCTGCCATCGTCTCAACCAATTAACATGTTTGTTAGGCGTGCTCATCGCAAAACTAGCATTCGCATGGATGCCAATAATTTAGAATTGCCAACACAAAAATTAATCATTAATAGATAATCGGTATCTTGTGGGCGAATTGGTTAAGTGTCTAATAAAATTGTTAGACTTGTGCTCCACCGTCCGTGTGACTTCAAATCCCTTTCTTATCGAATGTTTTTTTTTTAAATTGTAACTATATTTTTTTAATTAAATTGGTTTTTAAGTTTCGACAAAATTGGAATTATTCGATTATATACAGCCTGTTATTGAAAGGTACGTACAAAATAAAATCGGCAATTGGTCTCGAAGTATGGGTGCTAAAAGTTAAAAAAAGTTCAGGTAAAAGTGTTCTCCCTTTAGAGATAAAAATTATTAAAATTTATGTCCAAATTCGTTGTACGCCTCTGATAAAAAGATCATCTTTCGTTTCTATAGCAACATTTAGTCTTGACAAAAGTTTTATTGTTACAGTTGCTAGGATTTACTAAGATTAATTAATTTTACCTATTTATCCTTCAGTAGCGTCTAAAAAGATTGGATAAGGGTTGATTTTCCCCTTAAAATTTTGATAAGACAAAATAAGTTTTTCCGACTTCTTAGACTTCGCGAAGAACTGTCCATTTTGTTGTACGTACCTTTCAATAACACCCTGTATACATACATAAAGAAAAAGAAGTGAAGAAAAACTACCGGAAGGGTAATGAAACATTTTGAAATTTATAAAGAGCATTCTTAAAAAATTCTATGAAAAACAGCAATAACAATAATTTCCCCATACCCGTCATGTAAGTTAAAAATAGTAATTCGGGTTTACAAATAATGTGTCGTTTCTATGGTTACATCAGGGCTGTAATATTACTTACACGCCCCAGGGCTTTGTAGCTAATGGGCTGTAAATGAAAATAAGGTATAAATACCTAGAAATTAAAATTCAGAAATTTTGCGTTATTTATAAGATTCTACGACATGAGTGAAATGAGTGTCGATATCTTCATTTAAACAAACAGTTAATCGTAACATGAATTATTCGCACCATAAACACGCTGGGGACTGATATTTCTTCATTAAATTCAGCAAATATGCCGGGAGAACCGTTTCGGTACTTGAAATGTCCCCTCCCTTTGAATTACACAATTCTTTGGATGTCTTATACGCTGTTTCATACCGTTTTTTATTTCTCCGGCATAACTGGTACACAAGCAATATTCTTCTTCCAAATCTATTGTCGATGGTACTTCAAGAAATACAACAAAACAAAGCTTAGTTGTTTTACTAGACGATCTTTATCCCCTACCCTCGTCTTTACCGTGTCTTTTGTCATCTCGGACTCTAAGGCCCTCGATTTCCAAAACTTCATTTTTCTACCACAAAAGTGACACTTAATTCCGTGGTACATAATATAATACTATATATCATATGTAAATTTTAAATAACACAGTAAAATTTTAAAGTCAGTAAATTGAAAAAAAAATATAATTTGTCATTACTTGGAATATAATCGCATTAAACCATTAAAAAAATCGTATTCGAGGTACATTAAATAAACCAAGAACAAAACAAATGTTTAAGAATGTTATCTAATACATATAGTTATCATTACTAGTTACAAGTTCTGATACGATGCAAAGGTACTTGTTAAAAACGGTGGGTGTCTTTTTAAAACCCTTAAAAATTTCTAATTTTAAACTAGTTTTAAAATATAATGTATTTGCATAAACATTCTGAAACACATATCTGTTTTGTTGATATTATTACTCTATATTTGTGCAACAGCAGTATAACTTACCTATTGTTAAAGTATTAAAAATAGTTCCTATGACGGCAAATAGTAGAATTGTGCCTAAGTGATCAAAAAACAATCTATTAGGCATAAAATAACCAGCGTCCAAAATGATGGGTGGAAGCATATAAAAAAAGAATGTATCTGGTGTAAGAGGCGACATGTGAACGCTGTCAGTAACGTGGACCAAAATGACACCAATTACTACTCCCACAAAAATTAGTAGACAAGATTCTGGAAATATCTCGCTTAATTTGGGAGCCATATGGAAACCTGAAATAAAAACAAAACATTTTTAGTATATTTGATTTGTAATTGCGTAAATATTTTAATTTAAAGCAGTAAGGAAATAACAGATCTTTTCTCAGACGTAAAGACCACAAAGTCCTCGATGGGTTATGGTTATTTTGTTATTGACCATTTTCTCACCGATCGTTCAGGAACGATGTACTTATTTCTGAGGCAAAATATATGTGCATTATTTAAACAGACAAATGAACAAATTTTAGCAAAAAAAGAAAGTACAGCAGTTGTGTGACGATATAGTTTTAGCACCAAGAAAATTTTCAGAAAGTTATAAATTTTTATTAAAAGTTGGTAAAGATTTATTTTTCAAAAAGTCTTCAATTAAATTGATAAACGAATTATTTGGTAATATGCAAAGTGATGCTACGGAATATTATTTTTTTTCGCACTGTGGGACAAAATCAGCATGCAATGTTTGTGAAAATATAATGGACGCCTCATTGAAACAAATATTAGATACCCCTGGAATCAGTATGCGACCTCACACTACCGTAAAATGAAAAATTATTTGAAACTTTTTCGAATTATCAATTTGACAAATATTCGCATTTGACCAAATACGGTTACACTCTCTAAACGATTCCAAAAATTTCGAGAACGATAACAAAATTTGTAATCTACTTGCTTTCACAACGAGTGATCAGTAAAATAAATATGTTAAAAGAATTCGACCGAATTTATATAATATAAAATTTGTATTGCTGTTTCCTGCAATTCTACGGCTATAACCCCTATTTCTGCTCATTGTCATAAAACAGTGTTTATACATACTCCACTAAAATATATGCATATTGTATACCTACTGTACATACATTAAATTTAATAAAAGGTCATGTAAACAGCAGTTATACTGGCGATCATTTCACAGTGCACGGTCACTGAACCATGTCTAAAATTTGTCGAAATTAATCCTCTTTATCTTTGACAAAAGTAAAAACAATCCAACAACAACAAAACAGTTGACGATCGCCTTCACTATCCCGAAATAAAAAAAATTATAGCTGGCTTATATGTATAGGTATTTGTGGGATTTGTAGATTAGAATTATCACTACGATAGATGCATGGCCTATGGAGAAAACAAGTCACGGCATGTGCTCTCACAAATATTCTCAATAATGCACCTTTCCAACTGACGGGATTTTTTGGAATTTTACGTCTAAATGTTAATATGTACTGTAGTACAGCAAGCATTTTTGTAAACTTGAGGAAGGTTTAGCTTTAAGCCTCATTCAAACTAACATTTTTAGACTTTTAATTTGATGTTTATATATTTTTATAATTTTAAGTTACAATCTAAAACGAGAAACTGTTGTTATTTGTAACAACCCTTTACATACTTGTAATATAATATTAATTAATTAATAATTAATTATTAGCAAGACATAACTTATACCATTGCACGCCACAAAGAGGGCAGACTTGAAGCACAAACCCTTAAATCTATCCAATACCGAAGAGATCCCCACACCCTACAAACTAGACAACATAATAAGTGGGTTGAAACAAAAACAATTACATGGAAAATTCTTCAAAGAGCTAGACGAAACTCACATCAATACGAAAATGTCATTGATTTGGCTCAAAAAATCAAGTTTATGTGCTGAATTAGAGAGGTTTTTGTTTGCTGTTCAAGACGAAGTAATTATTACGAAGAATTACAGAAAATTTATATTGAAAGAAACGATTGTTGTCGACTTTGTAAAAAAACAAAATCGAAACGATTCCGCACATAATTTCATCCTGTAGCATCCTGGCACAAACTGACTACAAAGCTAAGGCATCCAAAATCATTTATAAGGACTTAACAATAAATCTAAACTTAATCCAAGATACTATACCCTATTACACTTACATTCCATCTCCACTCCTTGAAAACGCCGAATACAAGCAATATTGGGATCGCACAATACTTATAGACAGAAAGATTACAGCCAACAGACCACATATCACACTTATAAAGAAACACACCAGTGAAGCCATTCTCATTGGCATTGCTCTTCCTAATACGCACAACATAATACAAACATAAGTACCTATCACACCAAAAAGGCAATGCTAAATCTTGAGAAAATTTCAATTCTACCTTTAGTTATCTCCAATGTAGGAGTAGTACCTAATAGTTTAGTTGAGAATTTGAAATATTTAGACTTAAATGAGTCAATAATTGTCAAAACCCTGTTTTGTTAGGAACATGAACATGTCATATGGTTCGTACGTTTCTCGAACAGTTCGATCATATCAGTCAGAATAGGTTAGCACCAGTAAGTCAGAGTAGTGTAGGTCACTTTTCAAGTGATGCGTGGATAAATGAACGATAGTTACGTTAGGCTTTTGGGGATGGGGTGATATGAGGGAATTATATAGCAGACGAATTTGTATTCAGTAATTCTAAGATCTTTCAAGTTGGTTTAGTTATTAGTTGTGATAAATTATAGCCATTTGTTAACGCATCCAAGAACTTTGTTTCAATTTTTTTCCCCCATTAATAGGATATTATCGACTTCAGAATATACTGTTTATGTCGTAACCTCTATATGAGTCATTTCCTTGTAAAAAATTTTACGGGGGTTTGAAGACAATTTCTATCGCTACCTAATGTCAGCGTACCGATCATAGCTGTCATCTACAATTAATCGATAAAACTATCATCATTCACTTTTTCTCATATTACATTTTTTAGGATAGATGTTTTATAATACATATAGTGCCAGTTCTTCGGTTCTCGAATTATTGGCATTAGTTTTGCAATCTCTTCTTCTTCGGTTACTGCAACAAAGTCTAACTCACATTCATTTACTAGTTCTGCGAAAAAAACAAATCTAAAGCAAATCCATCTCGCATCATTTAATTCAGAATTGATGCTTTTAATTTGATGGTGTTTTTTGTCGAAAAAAATTATATCGCCGAAACAATATGTTGTCAAATTTCTGTCTTAAAAACTGCTTCCAAAAGCTCAAAGTCAAAGGATAATTTGAATGCCTTGTAACCCAAGATTGTGGTTACTGCTGTGCTTTTTCATTAATGTAACTTTAAATTCATGTTGACGAAATTTTCTCTTCCGTTGTAAGTTTTCTATTACTACTTCTTTTATTTGAATATCTGTTTCGCTTGTTAATGATGTATCTTCGGCGCTGTCATAATGTTTGCCTTGATTTTCTTTAAGTTCGTTAAAAAACTGGGCGTCACAGCAGGTTTTTCTCAGTGCATAAAACTGTGAAAAAATGTACTGCAATTTTCACATTGGACTCGCTTATGAAAAATCATTTTTTCTGATGTCATTTTTTACTTCCCGAGCCTAAGCCAAGAAAGTATTCTAATCGAGTCTATCGGACGATGTTACTTTCATGTTATCTCGACGTTTCATAACCCCCTAGAGTACCTACGAAAAAATAGGTCTCCGCTTTATATCTGTGTGTCGCCTGTCTATTTTTATTAGAAAAATAACCTCCGAAACAGTTAGTAAATATCAAAGACTGCTATGAAATTGTATCGCTAGTTGCATTTTGAATTTTTTAGACCTGGAGCTTCTCGTGATTAACCCTGCATGTACGCTGTCTCAAAATATTGAACAATAAAACAGTTTTTAAATTGATTAAATAAAAAACGATTTATATATTTTTTTTTTAATTCTGGAAAGATAATATGTTGTCATTAGCAGATATAACTATAATGCATAATTGTTCAATTTATCATGTTATCTTAGAATTTATTAAAAAAATTTCATTTGAGACATGCAGTATATCTTTACGTCTGAATTAGTACCCACACTTATTTCTTCATCTATCCCAAAAATTGCCACCATCTCAAACTATTACTAAACAAATTTTTATTATAAATTATGCTTTTAAGTAAGGTTTTCCTTATATGTTAGTAATATTTTGACATTCAAAATAAAAACATAATACATATGTATATGAATAGTTCATTTATGTATTTTTATATTGTTTGATATTTATATTAGAATTCAAATGTCTATCCTTATGAAAAATTAAGAACTGAGAGCCAGAGAAGTTCTTGTTTTTTACATTATTAGTATCACCAAAAAAAATCTTAATTTATTTCATACGTAAAGTATGTTGTTGACAACAGCAGCTGCAGACATCAAATTATCTACAATTGGTGCATATGCTGTTATTAAAATAAATTAATAAACAATTAATCACTGATTCAAATTCTACACAAACATTAATGGTTATTGTTCTTAATAAGTATATTACCTACTATTAAAAATTTAAATCAATTTTCTAAAAATTGCAAATCAAACTTTTTAATACTGACACCAATGCGCAGTTTGTGGGTACAAATCGCAAAGCAACGACGCCTACATAGTGGTGAAAATTGTAAAAATATGTTTTCTAAAAATACCATTAATATAATTTATGATGCTAAAAACTGTAGTTTCTAGAAATACCCTTACTTAATGAAACGTGTTCGCTGCAAACATGCTGATTAATAAATCAATTGTCCGACGCATATCCTCCGCTCAGCAATTTACTTCGTAACATTATGTTAGTTAAAATAAATTAGAATGTTTACATTTCTTTATGCATTAGACATATTTTGTGAACTCGGCCAACGGGAAATGCACCATATTTTTAAAGCAAATTTTAGGTATAATTGATTGAAAAATCATTATTATGGAGTATTCTATTGATTTGGAATTTTAATATAGGTAAGTAAATACAAGTATAAAAACCTAATTAAAACGGAACTTGAAAGATAGCTTTTAAATTCGAATTAAAAACATATGATATTTTACAAAATTTATAAAAACGTAATAGTAACGACATTAAGGCTGATTTAATCCAAGCTTAATTCATGGATTTGTATCAGGTAATTGATTAAAACGAAATTTTGATAAACTATAGATATTTTTTAAACCTGTTATTAGACGGCTTTTGCAAAATATTTTAGATATTTAATATCGATGCCATATACACGTATACTTTAGATGCTGTAAAATCT